TGTCATGCGTGGTTGCCACGTACGGCCCCGTGAAATTTTCTGGCTAGGATTTGGGTAACTCGGGAACTGAGAAAGCTGGGAGCTTGGGATTTCGAGGGAATGTTCCCTGTCCAACTATAGCGTGGATAATTGAGTTCCCGAAATTCGAGGGCTAGTATGTACAAGAGGTTTTTAGCTAGCTGAATTTCGAGTAATCTTATGACAGCACGAAACACTGCAAAAACGCATGATCGCACGAGGCCCCCCAGTGCGCGTCGCCAATGATTTCATAGACGGACATTCACCGGAGAAACGACCGGGATTCATGCAAGAAACTGACAATCATGCACGCTGAAGGTCCATGCAGCCCCATGATGCAACACCATCCCAAATGACGCCCTTTCCCCCTGTATGCGAGAAAAGGCCAAGCCACAGCCAATATGAATCTAATTGTTAAACCACAGCGCAGAAACCATTTCTGTTGTTAGCGATTTGGCGAAAAAACGCATGAACGCGCCGGCAAATCCGAGACGTTGCAGCCTGTTTTTTTTTTTTTTTTCGTTTTTATCTCAAAAATGCCGTGCGAAACGAGAAATGCACCACGACCAAGATGGTGCATCTTTTGTCTCTGCCTCATTCCCTGACTTCATACATAGTGAAACTGCGCCTTTGCAATAACTCTCTTTGAAACCGACCATACCGAACCGCCGGCTTGTCTGTGGCATTTCCGGGATTTATTGAAGCCTTTAACGCTTGATTCAGTCAAAAAGACAACACAGACAGGTGGAACAACATCCAGTTTTTTATTCCATCTGCTGTCAAAAAAAGAAAGGACGTCCCTCATGCGCTTGTCCAGTCATCTCCTTTTTGGTTGTATGACTGTAGTATGACACACGCTTCGTGCTACAATTACATATTATTAAAGACTATCAAGTATGACGGCCTGCAATTGTTCTAGCTGTGCAGCTTAATTTTGCGGTGCGGATACAACTGCAGCCAGCAGTCTTCCCTCCCTCCTCCCCTCCCCTGCATTAGGGAGCAGAATGGCAAACAGTAGGAAAAAAACAGCTAAGTCAGATTTGGCCACCGTGAAGGTGAGTTAAGGAAAGTGTTTGTGTCTAAAATTGATAATGGGAGAGATTGGAGACGGCTCATAACAGCTGGAATCTTTCCGTTAAACGCTTGTTTAAAAAGGCGATCGATAGTCAGCCTGCTTACAAAAAGCTTTCTGTATCTTGGCCAAATGTCCCAGCATTTTCATATGTAAGTACGGACACTCGTATTCCCTCTATGGGGCTGGCTAACATTCTCGAACTCAGAACTGAGTGCTACATGGAAGGGGGCGGGGGACTACAGTCTTACTGTCGCTGAGGAAATGGTCTAGTAGTTCCTGTTTAATAAAACTTTTACAATATTTTCTTGAAAATGCCGCACTGAGACCGTTGTGGATCCAGTGATTATGCAACAGCAATACCATTTAGCTGCAAAAACAATCATAACAAATTAAAAACGCAGAAATGTCAGGCATCTGCGCACTACTGCACTCAGGCAGTTAAAACGAGTTCCCCAGATATGTTTGATTTAACTTGAAAATTTTTCTCACATGTAGCGCTTTTTCCTTCCGCCCACTTCTCAACCACTGCTGGCTAAGCCGCCATATCAACTTTTGGTATGATTTTCATGTAAACAAAAGCGCTAATGAAACTGTTTCTGAAAGACTTCCGGAACAGTGCTCATTGCTTAAAAATCCATCCGGCCAACCACTAGTAAGGAGCATCAACAAAGAATGTAGTCGATTTGTCATCGTCCAGGCTAACTTGTCAATGTGCAGAAGCAGAGTAAA